CCCAAGAGTTTGCCCCGTCCGAGGGTCCTGCACCACACAACCAGTACGGGAAAAGGTAACAGTTAGACCATGCTCACATAATTGACTAATGAAGATAAGATTTAAAGTAAGAGCAGGCATAAGATAGGCATGGGATAAAGATAAGTGAGAGGTTGAAACAGAACCAACATGACTTACAGACAGAAGAGACCCATCAGCAGTATGGATAGAAGGAATATGAGGAGTAGAAGAGAGAGGAGTAAAAATAGTAGGGTCAAAGGTCATGTGATTACAACAAGCGGAGTCAAAGTACCAAGAAGAGTTACCTGCGGTGGCAGATAAAGCAGTAGATGGAGGAGTACCGGAATTCTGCCAAAAATGTTGAAACATGGCTTCGACATCAGTTGGAGAGAAGACTGGAGTGGAAGGGTCTATAGGAACAGAGGAAGGTAAATCCTCTGAGGTAGCAGCAGCAGTGCGTTGAGCAGGCATTGGTTTAAACGGAGTCCCAGAACGGTGAGATTGGCTGCGAGAAAAATTCCCGGTGGAAGGACCATTACGAGAGGCACGAGCGGGATTGCGGAAACAATCTTGCTGGAGATGACCAGGGCCTGTCTTGTTGCAAAACCGGCAAAGACGAACTGGACAATTAACCAGAAGATGAGTTGACGGAAGATTGCGGTTGTGACAGTAATTGCAGGCATTGGACTTCTGTGGTGAAAAAGCCTGCAATTCAGTAGTCATAGCTTGTTGCCAAAGAGGATTAGAGCGAGCCTCACGATAGGAGGTCGGTTCATAAGTAGAAAAAGCAGTAGAACCAACAATAAAGTCACGAAGACGAGTAGAAGGTTGGGTTACCCGGTGTGGTCGAGTAGAGGTAGGAGGAGCCAGAGGGAGAGACTCACCAGGAGGGGAGGAACCCGAGAGAGCAAGAGCAGGACCATCAGAGGGAGCAAGTGCATGGGACAGACCAGTAGGCAAGGCAGGCTCGAGAGAGGCTGGTAGGGGCGGTGGAGTAAGCTCATCGGAGAACTCGAGAGAGGCTGGCAAGGGTGGTGTGGTAAGTGCATCAGAGGTAGGCAAGGCAGGCTCAAGAGAGGCTGGTGGAGTTAGCTCATCAGAGAACAGATCCGTGGAAGGGTCAGTAAAAAAAAGAGAGGATGTGGGAACGGACAAACGGAAGAGAGAGAGAGAGGAAAACATTTTGTGTTCCCAAAAGACTACATGACAAGAGATACGAAGTTGCTGGGAGAGAGGATCCCAACAACGATACCCCTTATGTTCAATACCATACCCTAAGAAGCAACAAAGGCGAGAACGTGGTTCAAGTTTGGTACGTTCATGAGGTTGGAGAAGAACAAAACAGGCAGATCCAAAACCCTAAGGTTGGTGTAAGGGGGACGGGTGCCATGCAGACGCTCATAAGGAGTGTGATTATGAATGACAGGCGTAGGGATACAATTTATAGTGTAAGCAGCAGTGAGAGCTGCCTCTCCCCAAAAATGTTCCGGACAAGAGGAAGACAGTAGGAGAGCTCGAGTAGTGTCAAGGATATGGCGATGTTTCCGTTCAGCACGTCCATTTTGTTGAGACGTACCGGGACAGGAACGATGAGGTTGAGTACCATGATGCTGAAGAAAGGAAAGAAAGTCAAAATCTCTATATTCCATGGCATTGTCAGAGCAAAAAAGCTTAATATTTTTAGAAAATTGTGTTTTAACCATGGCAGCAAAATTGTAATAAAGTTGTTTGAGCTCAAAGCGATTTTTCATAAGAAACAACCATGTAAAACGGGAAAAATCATCTATAAAAACAACAAAATAGCGTGCGCCTCCCATAATAGGAGTAGGACATAGCTTGTGCCCATAGGACATAATTAGTCCCGTCAAGAAGAACGGAAATAGGGTGGTGAGAGGAGTCCAGGTGATCCATGAGAGAAAAATAGCACAATGGAGGTAGAATCTGAAAAAACTGAGGTTACCAGTGAATTCAGAAGGCCAAAATTAGTCAGAAAAGGAGTGAACGGATCAAAAATATGACCAGAAAGGCAGAAAGTGGAATAGTCAACGTCTTGGTCAAACAGGCGCGGCGCAGGTTAGCATAGAGTGGCGCGGCGCACGTTAGCAGGCGAGAGATACGTGGCGCACGGAAGCAGCCAGGGCTGACGTCAGCTGACGTCAGAAACACGCGGCTTACGTTAGCAGATGAGGCGGTGGCGCACAATAGCACCGGACAGTGTAGGAGGCGCGTGGAGCGCGTCTGAAACGAGGCAGCGCGTGGCCTAATGTTCTGGCGGCGCGTGGAGGCGCGTTAGACCTCAGATGATGATGAATCTGGTGGTGTTGGCTTCGTCGTGAAGAGACGAAGGTGCTGGTGTTGTCCAATCTGTATATTAGGTAAGGACGAGGTATGCAGCAATCTGCCAAGAAAAATGTGATGCAGAGACTTAGGAGAAACACCTGTGCTCTGATACCATGTAAACAAAGTTGAGAGAGAGTGATATTAAAAGAGACCTGTATATTATTTACACTCTGATCAGAAACCAAATGAAGGCTCCATTATATAGGAGCTGAGTACAAACATTATTATGATGTTATTTACTATAATAAAGAAAAGTAGCCAAAAGGAAAGGAGGTGGGCGGCCGAAAGCAGGGACAGGCCAAAAGTGTTTCTATAATATATTCCTACATACTATACTATAGTAATATATTCCTATACAACGTATATTATATTAATAATACATTCCTATACAAAGCATATTATATTAATAAGGATATTAATATATTAACAATTTAAGTTATTTTTGTCTATTAAACTATAACATGATTGTTGAATTTTAAATTCTGACAACTTTTCTAGTTACATTATTGATCTCTGCATATATCTCCGAGTAGTGAGGTTAGTCAAATCAAAGTAAGCTTGTAGACTTATTATTCATAAACAACAATTAAGCCTTATTAAATGTAAAGGTATGATCTTTTGAGAAATATTCTATACATTTTCCACATGATTTGTCAGGCTTAAGCACAAGCTACAAGTAGCAGACATGAGTTGCCATCCTTAGAAAGAGATCAGCACATGAAGCACAGCTCCGTATATATATATATATATATATATTTTTCTCTCCAATTAGCTAGCTATATCAGTATTTCATTTTCTTCTAATCCAAACAGTACTACCACAATGAAGAACAGCCACAGAGCCATGCTTGTTTTCTTTGCTTTGATTTTCCTCCATTTGCTTATTATGTCTTATTCTCCTTCTTTATCTCTTCATTATGAAAGAAAGATTTTTCTCGGCAGAGAAAGAAGTCAGTCAAGAAAATTGCTACTTTCTGTAGATCCAAACAAGTTGAGAGGAGCAATGAAGGAGCCTCAAGGCACTGTCTCTGTGGAGACTAGTCTGCAGACAACACCGCCGAGCAAATCAAATCCTAAGCAGAACAAATAGTCTTTTGTTGAAATTTGTCTAGTGATCTAGAACAAAGAGAGAAATCTTTTTCTGTATCCACATGTTTGCGGTTTCTCTATTGATTTTTATTTTCAGTTTGATCGGAAATGGCGACTTGGCTAGTTGTCCTTTTTTAGCTGAAGCCTCGTGCACTGAGTCATCTTTATTTATTTTGGATTTTTTAATTTGATAGGAAGTAGACTTTGATCTATACAGTTTTTGCTGCAATTTTTTTGGGGAACCCTCTTCTTCACATGAAGACTAGTGGTTCTATTTGTTCATTTTATTTTATTTATTTTGAAGTTGATATAGTCTGTGGTAATTTAGGAGAGAGAAGATGGAGAAGTGTATGTAGAGCATTGTGTAAGAAAATATTAGGAATAGAGTTAGTTCATTTTCAGAAGAAAGGCAGTTTACTAGAGCTATTTGGTTATATAGGTTGATGGTGAGTGGTGCTAGTCTTTGCAATGGTGTACATCAATTTCCCATTCTTTTGGGGTGTTTGGGAAGAAAGTTGGACTAAAATAGCCCACCAAAAGACAAAATAGATTAAAATAGTCAATAAAACAAAATATTACATCTAATTTATAATCATTTCATAGCCAACTTCCCAAACAAGGCTACATGTCATTTGTTTATTTGTAATTTTAGTTTAATTGTTTATCAACTTTTTAGGAAGAAAATGAAAATTAATGAAAGGGAATTTTTTGCACAGTTCTTATTTGCACTCCATCATTTATCTGGAATTATTTTTTTTCTTATTTTTCATTTATATAATGTTCCCCCATTAATGAATGTTTATATATAATTCTCTTTTTCTTCTACTTTTTTTTATTTTTTATTATATCCTCCTTAATGTGTAGCGGTGGCTTGGGCCAATGCTAAAGCTTGTTGTTAACGTCTTTGTAGTGGGAGTTTGAATTATGGAAACACTCCTTAACATTTATTCCTAATTTTTAACAAAGTTTACTGACTAAATTAGACTAAGAGACAAAATTAAAATATTTCTACATATTGGGAAGCAAATTGACACAATTTAAACATTAAAAACTAAAATAACACAAACCCCGTATTAATTTTTTTGCCGATCAAAATGCAGAAAAAGAAATTGTGAATAAATTAAACATAAGCTCAGCTTAGGCTAAAATATGAATTGGGTCCTATTAATGGTGAAAGGAATTTTAACATCCAAAACATTACACCATGTGAATGAATTAATATTCTTCCACCTTGAGATCTTCTATTTTTACACAAGCCACTTTCTCTAAGTTCACATATTTTTTTGAAAAATAAAAAGTAAAAAAATTTGAATATAAACTTATGAATAATCATATTTGAATTGAAATTATGTATTGAAATAAAAGCTTAAAGTTCACTTAAAAAATTATACTTGAGGTTGTTCTTATACTGTTACATTTTTTAAAATTGCACAGGCAAAAGCTAATCTAAAAAGAAAAACTCCTCAAACCCAACTTGGTAAAAGTTACGCATATCGAGCTGAAAAGTAAATATGTTGGAAGCAACCACACCACAACTTTTCAAACCACAACTTTTCAAAGTATAACTACTTGTCCATTGAATTTCAAATTTTAAGCTAAACAAGTTCTACCAAATAGGGCCGAAATAGTGAAAAAAATCAATGTATATGACATTGCTCTTTGACGTACCATCTATTGCTAGAAATTATTCGATATTCCTGGGGCACTAGCCCAAAGGCCCCAAGACCATACGATCGTGTGCGGATCCTAAGGATGTTAGGGCATTGTCTCAGGAGTTGAGACCATTGCCTTGTTCATCGAAGTGAGTCTCTAATCAAAGACTATTTCAAGTGCACATCTGCTGAGAAATCCTTTTTTTTGTAAAGAACAAGAAATCAACTCATCTCTTTTTGGAATTTGCAATTAGAATAGGGTTCTCCTATCCTATTACCAGAGCAATTTTGGCTAGGTCCAAAAACAAAATTACAGCCTATTGATGCACCAAATATTTGTCCTATCCTCTGAAGCCAACCATAAATTCTCTAGCAATAGTCAAAATCGCAAAAAGAATTCACCTCATTTGGTTTCTCATTGTCGTAGAACTCCTCAACTGACTTTCTGAAGATGGCTGGAAGTGGATTTCTTGGAACTCTATCCCATTGTTTGATTTCCTGCAATTTTGTTAAAAATGTACGTATTAAATAACTTATCTCTGTTTGTTCATTATTATTGTGTTGCTAGCATAGTGAATAACATATGGCATACCTGAGATGGAAAGCAAACAGATATGAAGCTCATTTCCAAGAAAACAGTCCCCAAAAATGTAAAAACAGAAAAAATGAACATGGTATTAATCAATTTAACCTTCACACTTACAATTTTGTTTCAATGCAATCCCTCTGTCAATTGCTGTTGACATTTTGCATGAAAAACAATGCATGAAATTAAAAGAACCAAAAGTAGAATTTGGAAGAAACTATAGGGACCACTAGTGTGTGTGTGTGTGTGTGTGCATTTTTTTTCCCTCATGCAGGATTCGCTAAAATTCTCACGAGTTGTGCGACCTTTTCCGTTTAAAATGCTAACATCAACTGACAAAGGGACCACAATGAAAGCAGGAATTGCTAAATTCTCACATGAATTGCATGTGACTTTGTCTGCCCAAAATGCTACAACTGACAAAGGGACCACAATCAAACATAATTGGAAGTGTGGGGTTTAAATTGATGAAATTACAACTACTGAGACCAAAGTGAAATTTCACTCAACTAGAGGGACCAATGATGTAATTTACCCTTATCTATACATGATGAAAACATGACAGCAAAGTAAGTTTTTGAGAATCAGAGCCTAGTAATCAATCTAATTTTCTGAAAATGCATACAGCCGTTTATATCATCATTTACAATCACCACTAGGATATAACTCTCGACATCAAAAGAAGCTGTGGGTTGTTTCGAAATGGCGAGAGGATATTTTCGCTGCAATGTTCCAAATCAATGTTGGTAGAAGTTTGATAGGGCAAAGAGTGAATTGTAGGTTTGTACATTCAGCCATATTAAGAATAACAAACTTTGATCACCAAGAAAGTGAATGTGTAAGCATAACCAATTTGGGTATTGTTTCATTAATTAATGCTTCGGATACTGGCCCTGGACATTAAAGTTTTCTCATTTCTGTATGTGCTTATAATTTTCCACTACGACAACCAATGCTAGAAACGCCACAAATTTGTACATGACATAGCAATATCAAAGGAAACTAACATTTGACAAAACAAACAGAAAGTAAAGTATGTCAACAACATATTACATGCCATACAGATGTTTATGATTAACGACCTCCGTGCGAACAAAATGCTATCAACACACACAAGACATATATATGGAAACTTATAACAACCAAGGAAGATAATAATAATTGGAAAAAAAAAAAACACTTACAGGGATGCAACTATCAACATCAGCATCACGACCCTACATTTCTTGAAGCAAGTTTGTCTCCATGCAATGTAATTTTCCAGCAATCAGCTTGGAACATAAAAACAGAAAGCTTTTTGGGCACAACTGTGAAAATGAAAAAAATAAAAAATAAAATTAGTTACATGAATCTCAAAAGGGCGGGTTAGGGCATATGGCCTTTAGGCCACGTTTGTTTCGTGAATTAGGTTGGATGAGATTATGAGTGCGGTGGGAGTGATTGAGGCGATTAGTAATGTGGTAGTATTAATTTGGAGATGGAAGATAAAGAGTGTTTGTTGGTAGGTAATATTATGATATGGGGTTAATATATAAAATTACATAAATACCCTCAAACTAACCAATGTTACAATAATTACAATATATATATATATAATAATGAATATGGGAGACAATCCACGTGGGGGTGTCTTGCCCCTTACATAAAAACCTTTTTTTGTTTTTGCCATTTCATGCTGATAATGATCTGACAAAGGATTAAGAGGGCATTTATGTAATTTCGCACCCTCTCCACCAACAATCTGTGGACTAATCCTTGAATCCCATACCTCCTGCAGGTATGTTAATCCGACTGCTGTACAGGATTATTAATCCTTCTACACTATCAAACCGGACCACTATTTGCCATCCAAACATGTTGTTCATGGGTATAGCTCACTAATAGTCCAATCCTGCCCCATAGTCAGCGAAACAAACATGCCCTTAAGGCTTACAGAACAGAGTATTACTCGAGGAAATTGATTCAAGTCATACATAGAGGCCAAACCAACTCTGCTCATGCATTACATTTTTGAGCATTCATGAAGAACATTCCATGCACCATGTTTTAAGAAGCTCTGATTACACTAAGACTTCAAAATTGATTCTTTCTCAGAAGTTTCTTAATTTGTTCAATTTTATATTCCACATAATATATAAATGCAAACAAGTACTTCAATGTTCTCTGAGGAGTTAATTTAGAGGAACTTTTTATTGGAGGAATTAAGACAGCAGGCAGCAGTGGTCCAGTGGTCTGTTTATCAGGTTCTTTGAAATGTTATCAACCCAATTTTTGCATTTTGAGAGGATCAACTTTGGAGAAATATTTGTTCCAGTAAAGAAGGCCACATCATAAGAAATCAAATTCTCACAATTTTGTCCACTATCTTGTTATTAGGGACTGTTGTGTGCCACAAAAACATAAGCAAGCACCTAAAAAGAGGTCAAATAGAACAAAATATGAAGAAGAGTGGTATTTATTCAACTAATTTCAAAGGACAACATTGTCAACAATCAATTGTAATATTTCATACATGTCACATGACATGAAAATAACAATAATAAATAAAAAATTACAGAAATCATTCTACAATGAAAGAGTCATACAATTAAATCCTTAGTAGTTAATTATAGTGAGGTTATATATAGAATTTATATATATCTTTAACACTAACATTGTTGCCAAATGTGACTATGTTTGCATAAAAATACAGCCTTTACTAATTGCAGAAGGGGTGATGTCCTTTCTATAGAAATAAAGGTATCTAAAATAAACTTGTGAACACTAACATGGATTTAAAACAGGTAGAGTCACGTTACCTTTTAAGGAACATGACTCTGGTGATGATAGCTATGACTTCCTTGTATGCTTGACTATTTCTTCTAATGGTAACTAAAGATATGAATCTTCAGCTACGGAAGTGGCTGGAGAAGATCGATAGACACACATAAAACCGGAGCCATGCATCAATCTAAATTTACTAGGGTTGCAAGTTAAGTTTCAAGAATGACTACAAAATGACAAAATATAACTTAAAACCCTAAGTCCTGAGAAATTGTCAAAATATAACATTCAATCTGATATTCTGCCTAAGGGGAAGGCCGTGATGCCAATTGTTAGAACCTTTAGAATGACATTAACCCGAAAGAAATGTTGAATAATTTTGTAGATATCTGGATCCTAGTGCGAGTTCAACAAATAGGCTAAGTGAAAGTTATGGAACCTAGTGCAAGTCCAATCAACGGGCCAAGTGGCAACCTCATGCAAATCCTAAATACACATTAGAAACTCCCTTAGAAGGAAGCCAATAAAAAAGCTAAAGGAAAAAAAAAGGAGGTCCATGCATTGTATATAAATACAATATAACTACGTCTACTTTGGCAAGCTGCAGAATACCAAAGTACTACCACATAAGGAGCATATTTCAAAGATACAATATCATATATTTTGCACATTACCAGCCCTAAAATATATGTAGAGTCCAATCAATGTTTCTGCACTAATGGAATACCTCGGAATTTATTATCTTGTGTAATTATTCCAAATGTCTCTTCAGTTTCTCGAATCATGATACCACTCACTCCAGTGAAGGCAGCTATTTTACACTGAACAACTGCCAGAAAATAGACAAAATAACTTAAGTAAGCAACATCTATTAAAAATGAACAGAATTCCAGAGTATTCATAAGTTAGGCTGAACAGGAAAGCTGATGCTTTTCTAGATTTTACTTTACTTCAATGATTCAGACAGAATCAGTAAGTTCATAAATCAATCTAGATGGCTCGATCGAAATTTTGATAGGCAATGGCATAAAGATCAAATGCACAGGTTAACTGGACCATTCATTTATGAGCACAAAAATTACCTGGAAAGCGAAGTAGTAGGTTCAAGGTTTCTGTATTCTAAGAAGCTAATGAAAAAGCCGAATACTAAGGCCTCGTTTGGGAACCTTCTATTTTAGCCAAATAGTCAAAAAGTTACTAAATTAGCCAAAAAGCCAACAACCCATATCAAAAAGTCAAAGATTCTCTTTTCTCTCTACTTTTTGCACATCATTTCGTAAAAAGCTAAAAATTCATCCTAAACATACTAGTTTTTTTTAGCTCATATTTTAGCCAAATAGCCAAAAAGTTTCTAAATTAACTTGTTCCCAAATGGTAAGTTTCCCATTCCGGTGACTTATGAATTAGTGGCTATCAAACCTTTTACTATAAGTTCACATGTGGGAGACCTAAATAAGTCTCCTGAAAGCGTTTTTTAACCAGGATTTGCATTCCAGTGCTCCCACTGTTATTTTCCTTTGACCAACAATTAAAAATGAATTTACATTAAATAAAGGACAAGTGATGGTACACCTTGTGACAAGTCCCCATTGAGCAACTTAATGACATTTACGCAAGTAGGCTATTAAACATGCCCATCGTCATGGTACCATTTTTAGAAATTTTAGTTGTACAAATATCATCACGCATATTTCTCACTATATATAGAGAGAGAACTTCTGAAGTTTCCATGGGAATCTGAACAATCTTTATGCTAACTATGACTTAAAAAAATAGTGGTGTGAAGGTCTAACCTAGAATCATCGCACCATGTAGGTCTGCAGTCAGAAGGCATTTTGTCAATTGATTTTCCCTGCAAAGTAAAATACAGGGTTTCAAGGACTTAACTAATAAACCTTACTATCTGGCATAACAATATATGACAAGACATAAGAAGCTACACGTCTGCAATATTGGCTAAGTCAAGAAGGAAAAATATCTCACCCCACATTTTTAAGAAGTTGCACCATGTAGCCTTTCCACATTTCATGCATTGGCTTGAAAATATCAAAGCTAACAAAAACCAAACCAGCATTTTTTAGAACTGTTGAAAAAGGGAAGGAACATAAAGACAAAAGAATACTGAAAATAAACTTTGTGATATTGTGAAAGAGTAGTTGTTAAACTTAAATATTCAGAGGCCATAGTGTTACAGATCTCTCCTTATTCTAAATGTCGGGAAATTTTTTTTTAATATAAAACTATTGTAACACCCTTTTTTTCATCCAAACCCTAATTCCCAAACCATTACAACCATCAGCCACCACCCGTGGCCATCGCCCACCACCCCTACCACACCCACAGCGTCAGCCACCACCCCTCTCCATCACCCCTGCCCTGGCATTGCCAGCCCTCTGATTTGGGCCAAAAAGTACCACATTGAGGCCATCTAATTTGCATTTATATTCCTTGAGGTATGGTTACTTGGCAGATATTATGTGTTTTGTGTATGTGCAAGCTTGATGGACAGTTCTCAATAGAATGATTAAAAAGTGGTGGAACTAAAGAGAAAGGTATCATAGATTCTATCAGTACAAGCAGCAAGACCTCCACATGAGCAGCGGACGCATGACAGCCACCATAACATTACTGAGCCACTGCACGTGCGGCCAATCCCATCGCATGAGTGGCGAAAGTTAAAAGTCTACTGTCAAAGCTACGGTCATGTGGGGCATTTTGGCCGTACGGGCCGCCACACCTCAAAGTGCGTGCACAAAAATGAGAACTAATTGAAGAGAACTCAAATATAAAAGGAAAAAAGAAAAGAAAGGAAAAGGGTTTTGGTTCTTTCGGTTTGAAGAGGGAAGCAACTAGGGCTAGAGGTGAAGACAACTTGCACAACCATGGGGTTCACCATCTCCTCCATTTCCTTGTCATTTCTTCCTCTCTCCATGAGTGGCTAAGCACCATACTTAGGGTTTTGATAACCGGATTTTCATCTTGACAACTTTGTATTGTATCATTTGATTGGAATAATTGTAAAAATTTTGAGTTTTTGAATAAAAATATTTCTATCTTTTCTCTTCATTCAATTTCTGTAATTGCGAATGAATGTTTTACTTTAGTTTTCATCGTTGTTGTGTTGGGAACTTGAGACGAGCTATGCTCTCACTAGACAGGTCGTGCCACAAACCCTAGTTTAGAGTGGACAATCCATGCCCATTTAGATAGGCCATACACTTGCTTCAAACACAACATTACTCTCATTTTCAATTTCAAACTTGTAGTTGAAAATTTGACCTATTCCAATCAATCATTTGTGTATGAGAATTCCAGGTACGGAACCAGCGGTGGATTCGGATCCCTAAGTTACCATTTTGTATTCTTCAACCTAAATTTGCTTGCTTATTTAATTATGGTTTTATTATTTTATTCTCACAAAACAATCAATCTCGACAAAGTGATTTGAAAATTAATAATTGAAATAGCTAGAATTACACAATTATTCCTGTGGATACCCTAGTAGACTGCACACACCACCACCTCCAAACTGGGTGCGACCTATCTTTTGGTTTTCCCTTTCCCTTTTGTATGTTTTCGTTTTGTTTCTTCAATGTTTTCCAGTAGATGCAATGGAGCTTCAATCTAGGAATAGTGGGTGGAGGACACGGGTGGTGGTTGCCGGACGGAATGGAGGTAGGTGGTGGCTAAGGTTAGGGTGAGGGTTTGTTGGTTGAAGAAGGAGGGGGTATTTTTGACAAGATAGGTTGTGTACCAAGTAAAACATCAAATTTCAAGATCATTCAATGTGTGTATTGAGAGAAGATGTGCTCTGAGAATTTTTGGTGCATGGAAATACAATAGAAGCTCCCCAAAAATGAGGTGATCAAGATTTGATTGGACATGGAAAACACAGATAATGGAGAGATTGGTAAACCAATAAAAAGACCATCCATATGCAGAAACTAATACACCCTCACTATTCATTTCTTTTAAACTGCAGTCCAATGCACCCAGCCCTCAGGAGGAGATGACTTGTGTTAGAATTTACCATCACCTACCACACACTTACCATCACCTACCACACACTCACCTACTACACTCACCTACTCCTCACCTACCACCACCTAACCTACATCTATATAATCAATCCATTGTAACAAATCAACTCATCAATCAATAATACTTAAATATATATACATAATTTGTTCTCTCTCTTTCTATATGTATTAATTTTAACATGGTATCAGAGCGGGTTTAGAACCTAATATTCTCGCTTCACCGGCAAGCGGCAACCTCCCCTTAGCCGCCCGCCGGACCTCAACCTAGTCCGCTGAATTTTCTAGATATACCTTCACTCCACTACAACTTCCAAACAGAGCGTAACAGACAATGGCAGCCTCATCACCGGCAATAAGCAACGACGACAACGCCGTCGCTACCATTTCCGCCACCAACGCGGCAAAGAACCTTCGCGGCCCCAACAAACCAGCTTCAATCAAGCCCTCTCGCCTCGAATCCTCATCTCCTCGTCATCACTAGATTTCTCTTCTGGAGCAGCTCCGACGTCTTCTGGTTTCGCATATTTCTGACAGAATTCTTTAACTCTTTGCTCATAAGCAGTTTTGTCACGCATCATGAGAGCTGCAGCCTCCCCATTCAACGGGTCTGATGGGGTAGGATACAACAGAAGTTGTGGAAGGAACACTTCGAATACATTTACCAGATCAAACATAGGGCTCCAGGTCTGATTGATAACATCTAAGCACACCGAGCCTGACTTCTACAACGGTCCGACATGACCCCATAAACTGTCTTCTACATCGGTATGACACCACCATACAGTGTCTTCTACAACGTTATGACACCACCATACAGTGTCCTCTACAACGTTATGACACCCCCATACAGTGTCCTCTACCCCGTTATGACACCACATTTCAGTGTCTTCACCAACGGTCTGACACGACCATACAGTGTCTCCTATCTTTTTTTATTTTATTTTTATGTATTTTCTTGTTTTGTTCCTCTCTTCAAACTCAAGTTGGTTAGTTTCTATCCTCCTTGAGTTTGCGGGGGGCTGTTAGAATTTACCATCACCTACCACACACTTACCATCACCTACCACACACTCACCTACTACACTCACCTACTCCTCACCTACCACCACCTAACCTACATCTATATAATCAATCCATTGTAACAAATCAACTCATCAATCAATAATACTTCAATATATATACATAATTTGTTCTCTCTCTTTCTATATGTATTAATTTTAACAACTTGCTTCAATTCCACCATGCCTGTACAGGGCAAAACCCCCAAATTAGTTTGATCCAGCTATTGACCAGTTCACTGGAGGGGCCAAGTCAAGAAGCAGGTTTCTGGTCCTGATAATAAAACATTGCTCACCCAGGCTTGATCAATCTTGCAAGATGCATCAAATTATGGTCAATAAATTTAACCAGCCCCTCCATTCTATGTTTTAAGTTTCCTATTGTCTGGATCACCAACTCTAATTGAAACTCAAAGCAAAGTTCAAGCTAAACTTGTTCTCGGAGTACCTGTCCAGTGTTGTTTTCAGAACATTGATTCATTAAATTTATCAGCGTCGATTTATAGATGTTTTAAGTTATGTCTGTTTCATGGTGTGTCCTAACAACTGGTGGATTAATCAATGAGCCTATTATGTACAGAAGTAAAATTTCAATTTGCAAGATCTGCAAGACTATAAAATGAAGAACAATAACTCACTTGTGGAGCTCTTGAGGCAAATCCAACGTTCCACATTTTTTATGTTGCTTCATAGACATGTGCTTTTTTGACCGCTTTGAGTGAGTCTTCAAAGCCCTGATACGAGCACTACGAGAAGCACCGCGACCTTGTACAAGATTATCAAGAAGAATCCAATTGTCAATTTTCATGCTTCTGGATCCCTGCATGTATTTCTGAGCTGAATCACCACTTTGGAGAAGGTCATGCACAACCTGATTGACTATGCTTCCTCTTCTATCAGAAATCTGCACAATTCCAAGGAGATGCTGAAAAGGAGCCAACTACTGATAAAACACCTGTGTAAACTAACCAGTAGAAGCAGTGTCAAGAGGCAAACATAAGTTAATACAGCAGAAATTACGTTGAGACTTGTTGGCAGCAGATTCTCATGTACAGGATGAGATAGTTGAAAATATGTTGAATCATTTGCTTCTACATCTGTATTTTACAAATGACATTTCTCTTATCCTTTAGGATACATTAAAAAAATAAATAAATAAAACAAATATATACCTAAAAAATATGTCTACAACACAAATATGCATATGCATGCATTATCACATGTACATGCAATGAAACCAGATGCCTACCTACCTTGTGTCGCAGCGTGGCCTGAGAAGGAAAACTTGCCTACAAATACACCAGCATAGAAATATCACTTACAGAGAACATTTTAAGAGAATATCATAGTTTAAATACTGATAGACAACTTATGCATAATGCGAACACAATGTTGGATCACAAGATTCTGTCACAGAAAACATTCAAATCCTTTACCAAACAAGAATGGCGAGAATGTAATTGAAAACAGAAATAACAAGTAACCTCTGTTATCAGAATCTTACGATTCGCGATTCGATTCACGATTCGATACGCAATTTTTGCAAAATCGATACGAATCTATAAGTGAATCTATTTTGGAAGTGAATCTCTAGTGAATCGCACGATTCACAATCGATTCACGATTCGATTCACTTTTTACGATTCATGCAATTTTTAAAATTATTGTGTTCGACATATTTTCGACTCATTTTTTCCATCTTTTTAGTGAAAATGACATAATACAACTTCTAATAACATTTAATACCAAAATAATCAACATATATATATGATTTGTTGTTATTTTAGTGATCATGGAGTTTTTTATAGGATTCAATCAGATTCAGTTAGACCTAACATATTTTTAACATTTCTTCTCATTTTTTCCCCCTTCAAAAAATTGTAATATATCTTCTAAAGATGTTTAAGATTAAAGTTATACTATGAATTATCTATTATTATTTTATTAAATTGAATATTACATATGTGAGGTCAGTTATACCTTTTAAAATGTTTTAGGCTTTAAAATAAAACATCCTAAATAATCCTTTCTTATTATTTGCTCACTCTTACTTAGAAAAGTATATATGCTTATTGTCCAAATATCAATATCATTGTTAACTATTGTTACTTTAGAAATTAATAGTTTGTCTATTTGGTTTTTATCTTTTATTAAGAATGGTTGATAAAAAATATCTAAAAAATAAAAAAAAAAAAGGTAAGATTGTGATTTTACATAGGAATCTTTGTTAACTTCTTACCTATTAAATTATGTGATTATCTTTCAAAATAACAATTTTGTTGATTAAAGTCTAAATATTTTATATTCATAAGATATATTTAACATCTAAATGTGTAGATATATATTTTTAAGTAATTTAGAAAAAGTGACCGAATCTTTACGATTCACGATTCGATTCGCGATTCAGTACGAGGCCATTTCGATTCACGATACGAATCTCGATTTGACAACTATGCAAGTAACTATGAAAATGAAGTTCCAATATAACACAATAAATTCTCAAAATGGTCTAGAAAGGAGTAGCAGTGATACAAGAAACAAACTATATGCCTTCTATCAGTTCTATGTATCTTTGGCACCGCAATTACAAGTTATCATCCCCACAGCACACAAAAGGCATGGCTATGAAGATCCAACTCTACAACAAAATTTTCAAGCTCTAACCACAACCCCTTTTTTGCTTGTCAACTTAATTCAAACCTCACACCATTAACAATTATTTAATTTTAAAGTCAAATTATTTGTTGAAAATTTTCCTTTTAACAGTGCCCCATCGAGCATTGTGCATGTAAAATTTTTAACACGTGAAACCCTGAGTTATATATATATATATATATGTATAAGTGCCCTCCTATTTTGCCTCCTTTAGAAAATTTAAGAATGTATAAGCACAATGTTGTGGAGTTTGTACTTGGCACTAGTGCCCACATTTCATTTGTGGCCCAAAGCTTTTATTTTAATGCCGGCTTAAAGCCCGTATTTAAAATTTTGGCTCTACGCCCATTTATTTGGGTATACCCAACTTACATTTAATTTGCTGGTCAATTTATTTTAATAATCATTGGACATTTACTTTGTGACATGAATGGACACATTTGGTCAACTTGGTTTCCAACAAGAAGTTAATGAAGATGGGAAGGAATATTTGCAAGGCCCTGAATAGAGAAGATCAATACCTATCAGCAAAATTCCAATTGAATTGCCACATGATAATCAAACTGGTTGGTCCCATGTGGGTACTATACCAACCAGGTTTTTTGAGTTGAACATATAGAATGATGAGGGTGTAGTAAAGTTCATAAAAATTATGGTCTTGACTATAAAACACTCTAGAACTAGTGAATTATCTTCATTGAGATCAAAATTTTCAACCTATACTTGAATTTTACCCAATTTTACAAAAGCTGACAAATTAAGGACTTGATTTCTTTTTCCTCACTTTGTCTTTAATCTTTCAAAAATTTTCATAAATTTGGGTAAAATTCAAGTTCAGCCTGAAATTTTTGATGCGCAAGTATTATCCCCAAAATTCAATATGGGCTTTGTAATTGAGGAGGGCATGACTTTTGATATCCAAGCACTGGAGTAAAGAGAACTCAATATCCAAGCACGTGAGCATGTACACAGGGTCAAGATTGCAAAAAAAAAAATGAAGAGAACTCTGATTTTTATGTTACCGAGACAAAAGATATAGTACACAAGTCAGGAAAGAAAAAGACCTTTCTTGGATGAGGCATTCGAGGAGGGTAATGCATCAGTCACATTTGCGGAAGAAGAATTCACGTTATGAGTTGTTCCCTTGTTTTCTTCATGAGGTCTCTTTTTGTTCTTTTGTTGCTGCAAATGAAGCTCGGCTTCTGCAAGGGCAAACCTTCTTTGTAATGCGTCTAAGGTGCGTTTCTTTTGATCTTGAAGAGTTGTGCCAGTCGTCATTGCAATATCAATGTCAACTGTCACGTTGCAATGAGAAGCAGACCCCAAGCCTGTAAAGTTGGGGAAACCAAGAACTATCAGAGGTTAAGCAACATGCATGACAAAAGGTGCCATGAACTAAATTGGTTTTGGGTTTTAGTAGTCCACACCTAATCATACAACCCAATAACAAACGAGTAAAAAGAAAACAACCTTACGCATTTAGTAAACTGGCCCTACATTATATACGATCTCAAAATACTTTTGACAATCATTAATTTGATAATTAAAAAATAAAATAAATAAATAAAAATTAATGTTTGGTTTCTAGGCCATGTTTGGTTTCCATTTCAAAAAAAAATATATATAGAATTTTTTTTGAAAAAATAGAAACTAATTTGATAAAAATAAATATCGAAAAGACATTTTTAAAATTTTTTTAATTATTTTTGGCCTCCAAAAGATAAAATTATAAAAAAATGATAAGTGCTTTTAGTTTTTTTATTGCATTCACCAAATTAATTTTTAGCTTTTTAGAAAATAATTTATGAAACAAGTTTTTGAAAACCAAACCAAACAAGTTCTCCTGAGGCAAAGAGGAAGCAATACCTTGAGGTACAAGATTCTTCACACCTCAACTTGTGAGGTTTTCAAGAGGCAAGTGCTTTAGACCAATATGCTTTCCTTCTAACCTTAACTTAGGTCTCAAAAACAAACCTTTTAACCAGGGGGTGGAAGGAGGGAGCCAAAAAAGCCCCATAATATATGAAATTTTCTTTAAAATATAATGAAAATTTACATTTTTTCAGTCATTGACCCCTCCAAAAAAAATACCCATTCACTGTGGCTCCCCAATTAAACAATTCTAGGTACCCCTGCTTTTAATCAGATAAATCAGACGAAAACCAGCTCAACATAATGTAATTGTCCCACAATTTAAGATCACAGCACATTCTCTATCAATGCAAATGATGTCCATTATGTCCATGTGTGTTTGTGTGTAGGGTCCTTGGAGAAGTGATGAAACAAAGAAAGTTGAATATGAAATTTTGTGTAGGTGCCACAAAATTTTAAAAATGCAAACTTGAAAAGGGATTATAATATGTGAATGAATCGTTTGGGAATTTTATCAAACAGTTGGTGGGTAAGAAAAATAACTTCGCTGCACATAGTTTTGAATGCATAGAGAAGACACTCACCGCCAGTCAGAGAGGGAAATGAAGCTCAACAACAACCCACAAAGTTTAACTTGCCCGGAATGAAGAATCAAATAAGAGGGAGAGAAAGAAAGAATCAAATAGAAGAGGAATCAAGGAAGCTTACCTGAATCTTAAGGTGCCGGAGTTGCCGATAATGGTTTAGGGTTTTGGTGTCAGAGTTAAACTGAAAGATATATAAAAATATTGGTTACTAAGTCCCTCCGTACCAAAATATTATTCCTATTTTTATTTTTTATTATTTTCTTTTTAAAAATCAAGTACAAAAATAATATAAATCTTTTATTTTACCATTCTTTTAAATTAATAAACAATATAAAAAGTACAATTATAATATTAATATTTTCAAAAAATGTACTATTAAAAAAGTAATTTTTTAAAATCAACTTTTTAAAAATACAATAATTGTACTATTAAAAAAATTAAATTCCTCAAAAGAGACCATTATTTTGAGATAGAGGGGGTATTAGTATTCCATCAATTATTTTTTTTGAATCTTATTTCTTTAAACTCTCACTTATAAATTTTAAAACTATTAAAAGCAAAATTTCTCTTAAATAATATCAAAATTATTTTTTAAAAAATATTCTATCAATTCAATTGAATGCACACTTCTACACCCAAAAAACATTTCTTCTAAAATTCCTAATAAAACTCACGAATGTGATTCATTTTCACATATTTGTCCATGATCTGAGAAAATAAATGTAAAGTTTTTTTATTATTGATTCAAAATTCTCTTTTTGTGGATTCTGCAATCTCCACAAGTTTGGATTTGTGATCTCTCAAGTGGATTTCTTTGAATTCTTTGACAATTTCAATTCTGGTTCCTTATCTTATCTAGGTATTATGATTTCAAAGTTTTTAAAAAAAAAATTATTAATAATGTTTGATTATCTATTCATGAACGAATAAGAAATTTTCAGTTATCGATTCCAAAATAAATAAATAATGTTCAGACCTATATTCCTAAATTTCAATTATATGTTTGGGAGCTCAGTCCTGAAAAAATGATGAATAATTTTTATTATTTTTGTCATTTTTTTAAATAAACTTACCCTTATAAAGCCAATTTATTCTAAGTTAAAAACACCGTCAAAACTATGGAACTTTTATTGTTGTACTTATCTTGTCTAGTGGAGTTGTAATTGTTGGAAAAAACTTCCACTTATTGTCATTGCTGAATAAGTGTCATAATCAAATGGTTGTCACCGTTACTATCGAAATATTATCGACAAAGAGTTTTCAAAATTTTGAGGGTGGGTAGATTTTGAAGATGGAATTTGAAAAAAATGAATGGATGGTGATAGAGGTGAGCGCTCTTATAAACCTTAATTTATGATATAGTGAGTATGTAGATTTAATTATGAAATGGAATGTCTCAAAATTATTAATATTATTTTTAATAATTTCACTTGAGATTATTATTATAATAAGAAAATTAAAAAATAAAAAATCTAAAATAATTGATAGAATACTAATAGCAGCATTCATAAAAATATCCAACCTTTTTTTGGTTTTTGTCAAAGCAAAGGGTTATTTTGGGAAGTGGGTTAAAAGCCACTTCCCAACTTTTAACCCACTTCCCTCTCACTAAAATTTTAAGAAGTCAAAAAATAATTTTTAATTATCTTTCTAAAACATTCCAAAATCCTAATTTCTATTAACTAAAATTTGTATTATTGAAGCATTGATCAAACCCAAACTCACAGGACTTTTTAATGACCAACATAAAAAGTAACGAAACGGTGAATTTCAGCCATCCATGCCCGAAGTCGAACACACGGCGCATCCTCCTCACTTCACTTCACGATCAGTTCAAGCCACTTCAGACTATCCGAACGCTTCCTAAGCTCTTCGGCTGCTTTTGGTTTATGAAAAATGTCTCGTAACTCAAATTTTGTGGCTCAAAAGTGGCTCAAATGGTCAAAACGACGTCGTTTTGGCCATTTTTATGTTGTTCTGTACTCAAAACGACGTCGTTTTGGCCATTTGAGCCACTTTTGAGCCACAAAATTTGAGTTACGTAGCATTGTCGATATTCGCATTTCACAATTTTTTTTATTTTTCTTTTCAAATCTTTTATTAAATTCTTAAACCAAACATAGCTCAGTATGCTTATTTTGGATGCACAAAAAATAAACAATTTATTAATTTATTTAAGTCATATCATCTTTTTATTTTTTTATAATTTTTTTATAATAAGTAAAAAATTTAAAAAAAAATAAACCATACCCGGAAGAAGCTAATGTTGCACTACATTTTCATAGCATTATTGTTTGAATTATGTGGTTCGTTTGGGATTTTGACCTTTGTAGTAACTTTTTTTTATTTTTCATGAAAAGGTAAGAAAAAAAAAATTATGAACTTTTTAGCTAAAATGTATTATTTCACATGACCTTAAGATTATTTTGAAAAAATAGTTAAAAACTGACTTTTTTTCTTTTGATTTTTATTGAAAAAATATGTAAAAAATGTGCGAAATAATATGACTCAACATAAATTAAAAATTGAAAGATAATTTTTAATCATCTTTTAAAATAACCCTGAGTTAGGATAACCTTACCGTTTATAATGAAAACACCTTGCCTTAATAAATAAATAAATGAAACGATGACGTATAATTTTTTCACTGAGGAGGTTTAAAAAAAAAAAAAAAAAAGGGTTAAAAACCGTGTTGTATATTAGTAGTGGCTTCTTTTCAGCGCATCAGTCCATACACTACTTTTACATACTATCTATCTATCTATCTATCTATATTATATATTGGCCCTATTTAATAGAGTTGTGACAAAATAATTATAATTTATAACCTAATAACTTATAGCTGAAAATATAAGTTGATTTTTTACTTATAAATTAAGTTTCTCCTCCCTCACTCAAAAAATAAGTTGATTTTTAACTTATAAAAAGTTATAAGCTGTATTGTTAAGCTGAACCAAACACATCAAAATAACTTAAATTAAACTAAAAGCTGAAATAAACTGGAAATAAGTTCTACCAAATCTATACTATATGTTAAGCGAAAGGGTGTTTTAACCCCCAGGGCCTGTGGAAGCTCCAATATGCCAATGCTAATTTACTGATTTTTTATTTTTATTTTTTAAAAAAATTTACTTGGTGATTGGTTCAAAGATTATAATAATTACATTGACACCATGATTACATGGGTCTCTTGGGGAAGCAAAATACTCTCTCTCTCTCTCTCTCTCTCTCCCTCTCTCTCTCTCATATTTCATTTATTGTTTTATTTCCCCACCCTCTATCTCCTTCATTTATCAATAGTGTAATTATATAACAATAAACCAATCATCAAGCAATCCCAATATTATATTGAAAGAATTTAACAAGTGTTATTTTTTTTCAAAAAAAAAAAAAATTAAGAGAGAAAAAAATTATATTGAAAGAATTTAATAAGTGTTATTTTTTTTGCAGATTTTTTTTTATAAAAATTCAAAAATTAGAATTGAGAATATTGGAGCTCCCATAAGGCTTGGGTTTAGAAATTCATTTTCCTTAATATATTTACATTATCTATTATGTGAATTGGATTTTTAATGTCTTTTTTTTTTTAAATGTCTCTTTTTTTTTTTTTTATATTATAGTTAAATTTTATATTTTGATATAACATATGTGTTGGATTTTTCAAGAAATTAAATGTTTCTTTTTTATATATTAATTTAAAGTTTAATATTTTGGATAATATTCAACTACATCACGTGCTATGACGGGATTAAATTTAATAAAAAAAAAAAACCATTCATCGTTATGTTAAACATATTTTAAATTGTTAGCATAAAATATTGCAATTTATAAATAAAATATTGACATTGCATATTAAAGTAATAAAATAAGAATTTATTACATTTGTTCGAAATCACTGAATAAGTAAAGCAAAAATAACTAAATCTAAATTGTTGTGGACCTGTCCATCAGTATTCCTGCATTGTCATTGATAGTTAGTATCATAATTAATGACAAAAGGGTGTGTTTGGTAAGTTTACGTTTTCAGTTTATATTTACAAAAATTTTATAAACTGGTTTTTGTTTTTTTTAAAAAAACAATAAACACAAACGCGTTTGGGTATTGAACAAAATGTTTTAAAAAAATTTAAAATATAAAAAAGAGTGAGAAATGACAAGTGGTGGCAAGTGGCGCGGAGAAGACGATGGTGAAAAATGGTGAGCGGTGGGTGGTGGGTAGCTGGTGGTGGTGGGTAGTGGCGGGTGGGTGGTGCGGTGGTGGTTGTGGTGGTGATGGGTGGGGGGTGGTGGTGGTGGTGGTGGTAGGTTGGTTGGTGGTGGTGGTAGGTGGGTGGGATGGTGGGTGGTGGGGAGTGGTAGCGGGCGGGTGGTGGTGGTGGCGGGTGGTGGTGGTGGTGTGGTGGGTGCGGTGGCGGTAGTGGGTGGTAGAGTGGGTGGTGGTGGTGGTGACGGTGGTTGGTGTGGGGGGTGGTGCTGTGTGGTGGGTGGTGACGGTGGGGGTGGTGCGTGGTGGGGGGTGTGAGGGTGGCGGGTGGTGGGTGGTAGAGTGGGGTGGGTGGTGGTGACGGGTGGTTGGTGGTGGTGGCAAGTGAGTGGCGGATAGTTGGTGGGTGGTGGTGGGGTGGGTGGGTGACGGTGGCGGGTAGTGGGTGGGTAGCGAGTGGGTGGTGATGGTGGTGTGGCGGGTGGTGGGTGGCAGTAGGTGGCGGATGAGGGTGGGTGGTGGTGGTGGCGGTGGTGGGTGGGTGACGGTGGCGAGTGGGTGGTAGTGGTGTGGGTGGTGGTGGCAGTGGGCTGGCGGATGGCGGGTGGTGGCGGGTGGGTGGGTAGGTGACGGTGGCAGGTGGTGTGTGGGGTGGTAGTGGCAGGTGTCGGGTAATGGTGGCAAAGTGGGTGGCAGATGGCGGGTGGTGGGGTGGTGGTTGTGGTGGTTGGGTGGGTAACGGTGGCGGGTGGTGTGGTAGCAAAGTGGTGTGGGTGGTAGTGGCAGGTGGGTGGCGGGTGGGTGGTAGGTGATGGTGGTGGTGGGTGGTGGTTGGCGGCGACGGCGCGAGGGATGGGTGGTGGTGGCGAGTGGGTGGTAGTGGGGTGGTGCTGGTGGGGTGTGAATGGTGGTGGCAGGTGGTGGTGGAT